GTGTGTGTGTGTCTGTGTCTCTGTGTGTGTGTGTGTGTGTGTGTGTGTTTGTGCGTGCGTGTGTGTGTGTGTGTGTGTGTGTGTGTGTGTGTGCGCGTGTAAGCAGTGTTCCACGAGGTGTCAGTGTATCCCAAGAAGGAGCTGCCATTCTTCATCCTGTTCACGGCGGGTCTCTGCTCCTTCACAGCTATGCTGGCGCTCCTCACGCATCAGTTCCCAGAGCTCATGGGAGTGTTTGCTAAAGCCGTGAGTGTCACACACTTCAGTACTCCAGACAAACACACCACCGTTTAACGTTTTCATTTTCATCAACAGACACATTCAGTGTCATCAGCTGATGAAGAACCATTTGAATGACACCGATACACAGATAACTCATCATGCTCATATGTGAGCCTGGAGTACAAAAGCAGTCTTAAGTCGCTGGGGTATATTTGTAGCAATAGTCAACAATACATTGTATGGGTCAAAATTATCAATTTTTCTTTTATGCCAAAAATCATTAGGATATTAAGTAAAGATCATGTTCCCTGAATATATTTTGTAAATGTCCTACTGTAAATATATCAAAACTTAATTTTTGATTAGTAATATGCATTGCTAAGAACTTAATTTGAACAACTTTAAAGATGATTTTCTCAATATTTAGATTTTTTTGCTCCCTCAGATTCTAGATTTTCAAATAGTTGTATCTCAGCCAAATATTGTCCTATCCTAACAAACCATACATCAATGGAGAGCTTATTTATTCAGCTTTCAGATGATGCATAAATCTCAATTTCGAGAAATTGACCCTTATGACTGGTTTTGTGCTCCAGGGTCACATATTTGTGTTTGAAATGGCAATTCTTCATGTAATCATGAGCGGTTCATCTTGACCAAGTTCAGCTCTATAGTGGCTGAGTTGTGTTACTGGGCAAATATTAGATTTTTCCCCATGCTTTCAGCTGATTGAGACACTGAAATATAATCAGCCAAATCTGAAGCACAGTTTGAGTAGAAAGTGGCACATCTTACCCCATTGACTCTTATTTTGTTTTACTGTGAAATAGTTTTTCAGACATTAAAATTAGCTATAAAATGCACAGGCAGCCAGTCAACATTTTTTTTGTTTTGTTTTTTGATTATATTATTGAATGTAATTTAATACGGAGGCGATCTTGTCTGAGAGTAGGGTTCAGACTGCAGATATCTCACTTGTTTCTGTCTCGTCCTTCAGTTCCTGAGCACTCTGTTCGCTCCGCTGAACTTCATCATGGAGAAAGTGGAGAGCATTCTTCCCTCGAGTCTGTGGCACCAGCTCACGCGGATCTGATCTCACAGATACGCATTATTATTATTGACTGAGGTGCCAAGTTCTTCAGAAGTGCCCCAACAGCCAGAAAACAAGAGAAACACAACCCACATCATACACAGAAGGAATTTATTTCCCCCTTAATCTCCTGTAAATATTTCTGTTTAAAACTTTTAAACGCCATGGATATATAAAGAAAAAATAAAACGATTTCTGTACTGCTGCAAAACAGACGTGTCTATTTTTGAAGAAAATCCTCTTCTGTGACTTTGTGTTCTCAAGTTTGAAAACTGTCTGAAAGCAGCAGAATATCATTGATGATGATGATGACATGCGTTCACACATAAACACAAAAGTGGAGTCACACAGGTTAATTTGTGAATCTCTTCCTGTACACTTCTGCATCACATGACACATTCGTGGATTTTGCTCCAGCCGATCAGAACATCAACAAATCACATTGTTTTACATTCAGAGCAGCACCAGACTATAGAAGAGCTCTTGTGATGTTTTTGTAATGTAGGACAGTTTCAGTGTTATAACGGCGGTGCCGTGTGTCGTGGTTTAGGTTTGTGGATTGGTTAACTTCATGTGAGAGGTGAGTCTTCAGCTTCTGGACAGTCGTGAGGGTCTCAGCAGATTGGTGGAGGTTTGCAGCCGATTTCAACAGAAGAACAGTGAGAGTGAAGGTGCTGGAAATCACATTTGTGTCTCCTGAAGTGACAGCTGTTGCATTATTGAGCATGTGAGTCCTGCACATGAAGAGTTACAAGTGAGATGATACAATCTGAAGGAAAATTTATTGTTATTGGTTTAATGGTTCAAAAATAGACACTCATTTTAGTGAATGTTTATCCATATTATGCACAAAACAATGGCGAGGGAATGACTGACTGATGCTTGATGCTCAGACATCAACTTCAACTGCTTTTTATTTATTTTATTTTTTTTTACATGAAACATGATACAATGTCTTCTCAATATCATTAACTCCTCTTCATCTGTAGGTCAAAGACCATGTCCCAAAAACCTTCACGCTGATGCTTACATATTTCAGAAACTGCTCAATGGAATTTTAAAACTAAAAAGATCTTAAACCCCATTTCTATTTTTCAGGTTTCATTAATATAGCACTTAATACAATAAAATTGCTTCACAGTAAAACCAGTGTAAGTGTCACCAAGTTCAGTTTTAGACATCTGTCGTTTCAAATATAACTTCAAGTACAGCTCTACAGAGAATAGGACCGTGACAGTCTTTATGCCTCTGATGAGCGAGACGAGAAACCCAAACTCCGTCAGGTGACAGTGGAGTAGAAACCAAGCCTGGCATCTAAACCGTTCTTCACTAATGAGCTCCATTAATACTGATCAACATTTGTCCTCCATACTCCGTGATCTCCATCAGAAGCGCATCGCTGATGGTTCTGTGAAACAGCCTTCATGTTCACTCGAGTGCTTCAGTAATGCTTTAAACGGCCGAGAAGCCCAGAGGAAACCACTTCTCCTGGTCCAGAACTCTCTCTTCCAGAACCACGTTTGTAGCCGCTACAAAAGTCTTCCTGCTCTTCACCGTCACCTCCAGCACGTGTCCGTGGAGGTTGTGCACGTTCCTGTACTCGATCTGAAGAGAAAGCCACAGGTCTGAGAGGAGACTAATGTTCAGATGTGACACACACGTCAGTAACAGCAGAACTACTCATCAAATGCATTTCAAAGAACCGAAAGGCTTTCCCATACCAGTTCATTGAACGTGGGATTGTCATTGCTGCGGACCACTTTGGTCTTCCTCTTGGTCTTGTCCTGCGGGTCAGGTCTTAGTCGCGTGACCACATATGCATCCGGACACGAGCCGTTAGACAACCTCTGAACGACAGCACACACACAATTCTGCTTCAGAATAAGAGTTTACAGTCGTGCAGCTGAAAACATTAGTAAAAGTGAACAAATATAACTCCAGAACAGAATCTTAAATTTTGTAAGCCAAACCTCAAATCATACAACCCCACGTAAAGTCAAAAACTGTTTTTTCTAATGGCAAAAGTGCAATTTTAAGGGGATAAAAAGATGTTAAAATGATTTTCGGTAACGCTTTACTTAAAGCCTGTACTATGCATTATAAAAGGTATTCATAATGTACGTTGTAATGACTATATATAAAACGCAACAGATTAACCATTTGTTGGTCACATGACTGATCAACAGTGATGTGTTTACTTGGTAAAATATGAAGTGGCTTCCAGCTCCGAGTCATGAGGCCTCAGTTTGTTGTGAACATATTGTAGGTCCTGGACGTCCTTCAGCTCAGGCATACCGGCCGCCAGCATCTACAATCAGACGCGTGCATGGATACAGAAACACATGAGAGGGAGCAGATGTCAGCTAAACAAAGCGAGCAGACAGAGCTTTCCGCCTCACCAGCTGCAGCAAACTGAGCACCAGAGCAGAGCGTCTGCGCAGACTGTTGAACATTAGTAAAAGTGAACAAATATAACTCCAGAACAGAATCTTAAATTTTGTAAGCCAAACCTCAAATCATACAACCCCACGTAAAGTCAAAAACTGTTTTTTCTAATGGCAAAAGTGCAATTTTAAGGGGATAAAAAGATGTTAAAATGATTTTCGGTAACGCTTTACTTAAAGCCTGTACTATGCATTATAAAAGGTATTCATAATGTACGTTGTAATGACATTTCATAAATAATTATAACCAAAGTTAAAATGCATTATAATATTTGAAGGTTTGTTTGTCATGTGTTTTAATGCATTATATCTTCTAAAGGTGTAACAGTGAATAGATAAGTATTATAATGTATTATATTCATTAGATTTTACAATTTTACAAGGCATAATTAATGCATTAAAATAATTGTATAATGCATTATATATAAAGGCTTAAAGTAAATCAAGAACAATAATGGGTTGGAAAAAAAAAAGACTCACGATATTTTTCAAATGCTTTATCATCACAGATAACTTATAGTCTTTATAAGACAGGTAGAGCTGAATCTGCGGTCGGACATGAGCGTCTGTTTCTGGAACAAATGCAAAAAAAACCATTTTCAGACAAATTTAAACATGAGAAAAAACTGCAGGGTTGGAAGTAAAATATGTGAATTAATCCCTGAAGCAAATCAAAGCCATGCAACGACATATATTCCAGTAACTTTAAACTGAAAGGAAGAGCAGCGTTTCATTTTATCATTATGAATGCAAGCTAGCAGTAAACCATTAAAACCATTAAGAGTCCTCTGCAAACAACAGTGAAATGCATCATCAATCATCGTCCAGGAAGAGTCTTTACCTGACTTGACCGCAGCGTTTGGTCCGTCCAGAAACAGGCTGCAGACGTATTCGTTCTGTTAGAGACATGATGAAATATAAATGAAAGTGCGAGGTAAAGTACTGGGAAGCGGCACAGAGGCGGCACTCACTCACCCCTTTGCAGGGTCCTTCAAACAGCTCCTTCAGATACTTGTTCAGCAGAGACATCTTCCGGCCCGGTGTAAAGGACATGTTAAACCATCTCGGGAACCTAGAACAGGACAAAGACCAGATCAGTCCGGCTCTCCTCTGCCCTGCAGTGATAGCACATCATGAGCGGGACTCTTACTTTGGCAGCGTGGACTCGATGAAGTGCTTCTGCAGGAGCTTGTGGAGCATCTCAAACTGAGCAAAGCTCTTCTGAACGACGAGGAATCCGTCCTCAATGGTCACCTTCAGCTCGTACGTCTGACTCGAACACAACGGACATTATGTGTGAGAAAAAAAGGATTTAATAGTACAAATGTAGGCCAAATATACTTGGATGTTTCTGTATAGTTATCAGTATAAGCCAAGAGTGCTTAAGTATAAACAAGCGTCTTTTTATCGAACATCTCCACAAATTAACACGCATCTTCTCAAAGATCTTTCTGAGGTCTCGTTGCTCAGGTTTTGTGAAGGAAACTCACCACATCTTTGCCGTTCACTGTATATTTCTGGATCACGGCCTCCTGAATGTTGGTGTTGGAGGAGATCTGGCTCTTAGCCGGCGCTTCTGAACGTTTGACAGAGGAAAACTGCACCATATTGTGGATGAGGAAGTTTAATTTGACTGGGAAGCTCTCCATGCTCTCTTTAATTTTTCTGAAACAGGAAACACACGAGTAGAACCTCTGTAAACACTCATCAAATATGAGAAGCCATGTTTTATTTATTCAGTTGTCATCAACGGTCTTATTGCAAAGGGCATTGCTCGTTTGCACGGGAAGATGCTGCTGTGTGAGAAGAGAACATGAGCTGTGGATGATTACAGATGCATATCATTATCAAACTATTTTGAAATGCATTTCCCAAGAGGACTGATCAGACATTAGACACAGATAAACAACATACTCAAAAATGAGGTGTGTGTGTGTGAGTGTGTGTGTGTGAGAGAGTGTGTGTGTGAGCGAGTGAGTGAGTGTGAGAGAGAGAGTATGTGTGAGAGAGCGAGAGAGAGAGAGAGAGAGAGAGAGTGTGTGTGTGAGAGAGAGAGTATGTGTGAGAGAGCGAGAGAGAGCGAGAGAGAGAGAGAGTGTGTGAGCGAGTGAGTGAGTGTGAGAGAGAGAGTATGTGTGAGAGAGCGAGAGAGAGCGAGAGAGAGAGAGAGTGTGTGAGCGAGTGAGTGAGTGTGAGAGAGAGAGTATGTGTGAGAGAGCGAGAGAGAGCGAGAGAGAGAGAGAGTGTGTGAGCGAGTGAGTGAGTGTGAGAGAGAGAGTATGTGTGAGAGAGCGAGAGAGAGCGAGAGAGAGAGAGAGTGTGTGAGCGAGTGAGTGAGTGTGAGAGAGAGAGTATGTGTGAGAGAGCGAGAGAGAGCGAGAGAGAGAGAGAGTGTGTGAGCGAGTGAGTGAGTGTGAGAGAGAGAGTATGTGTGAGAGAGCGAGAGAGAGCGAGAGAGAGAGAGAGTGTGTGAGCGAGTGAGTGAGTGTGAGAGAGAGAGTATGTGTGAGAGAGCGAGAGAGAGCGAGAGAGAGAGAGAGTGTGTGTGTGTGAGTGAGTGAGTGAGTGAGTGTGTGTGTTTGTGTGAGAGTGAGCGTGTGTGTGTGTTTGTGTGTGTGCGTCTGTGTGTTTGAGTGTGTGTGTGTGTCAGACTGTTGTACGCGTCACAGCTCAGCTCAACGAAGCGGTGGAAGCGCTGTGGATTCTCGCCGCCGCCCGTGATGAAGCGCTGCATCTCCGGCGTGAAGATGAAGGGCGTCCGGTCTCTGTGCATTCACAAAGTGGACGTCTACTTTAGAAGGGGTTCTTTTTCATTATGCAAAGTGACAAGAAAACAAATCACTTGCCTCTTGATGCTACCGAACTTCTGCGCATTGCCCATGATCTTCCCGAAATCGATGTGGAACATGTGGCCGCTGTGTTTGATCATGATGTTGTCGTTGTGACGGTCGCAGATGCCCAGAACGAATGTGGCGACACACCAGCCGGCGCAGGAGTGAAGGAAGTTCATTACAGCCTGAAGGTCAGATGACAGACAAACACACCTCACACCGGCGCTGTGGCCAAGAGCAGACATCATTGAAGAAGAAATATACTGTGTGTGTGTGTGTGTGTGTGTGTGTGTGAGTGAGTGTGTGTGTGTGTGTGCTTCAGCGAGCTACAGCTGCGGTGAGTGTGTTTGATTATGACTTCGGTTATATGATGTCAGAGTGTTTTAATAAACTGTATATCCCTTAACAGAATAGATCAGAATACAAGTATTTCATAAAGAAGTTTCTTTAGCTGTAAGACGGTGGGGACGTTTGCTAATTAACTAAATGATTTGATTCGACATTGGAATATTCGCGAAATTTAAAACAATATACACATCGTTGAACCGTTTATATGGCGCGGAGAAACAGTCAGGTCAAGTAGTTAAAAGTTTAAACACAAAACGTAAACGTTTGTTTATCAGTTGAATATTCCTTTATGTTTTATTATTTTCTTAACGATGTTTTTTTTTTTAATCTTGAAATTCAACAGCTGCTCGATCGGTTTGATGCCCATTTTCCCACGCTTTTTACTTTTTATATGCATAATTTAGACAGCTATTTAATTAAAGAGACCCACTTCTAATAAGCTAGCCGTAAAATACAGGAAAAATCCATATCAATTTTTTTCGTGTGTGAGTGAGTGAGTGAGTGAGTGAGTGAGTGAGTGTGTTTGTGTGTTTGTGTGAGAGTGAGAGGGTGCGTGTTTGTGTGAGAGTGAGCGTGTGTGTGTGAGCGTGTGTGTGTGTGTGTGTGTGTGTGTGTGTGTGACCTTCTCGTAGTCCTCTTTGGTCTTGTTCCTCACATGGAACCATTTCTCTAAGGTGTCTTCCCTCAGCGCTCCAGACAGACCCCACTCCTGATGAATCTTCGCCAGCGTCACGGCGTCAGGCACCACTTCCACTAAACCTGAACCCAACCATTCATGACACCAGCTCTTACTTTCTTATCTTAAACTGAGCTGTACGCATTAACTACAGTAAAACAAAAACTGCTGTTATTTTATTCTTTTGACTGTTTTGATCTAATAAAAAGTAATGTAATGCAAAGAGGATATTATTAGTGACTGCAATTTCAGGTTTTGGCACCAATGGAGTCGATTACAAAAATCAATTCCATTCTTACAGCAAAAACAGAGCATGTCTTTGGATTGAGAGAGAAATCCGTCGACACGGGGAGAACATGCCAAACCCTGGCTCAGCTAGATCGTCATTCTAAATTTGTCTCATTTAATGGGATCATTCATTGAAGAATCAAAATGATCTTTGGCACAGAAAAGGCCATTGTACTATAAAAAAAATAATAAAATAAAAAACTCAAAACTTCCTTGTTAGTCCTACTTATCTACTATTTGAACAGAGGTGTTCAAAGTTCAGCTCCAACCCTAATCAAACACACGCGTGAAGCGGCTAGCTGAGATCTTCAGGAACACATGACCGGTGGAGTGTGGCTGGAACTGAAGTCTGAAGGCAGATCTCCATGAACTTTTTGAGCTGCCTTCATCTAGAAAGCATCTCAGAAAAGCATGACCTAATAAATGTGTCTTCAAGGTTTCAAAACAGAGCAACATGAGCCGGCCTCGTCTCTCCTGACAGGAAAGTATCACCCTCTCATGATATGACACACATACAATCATACATACATTCAACAACACTCTGATGCATCACTAAATCATAAGCAGATTGTGTGTGAATCTGCAGCAAACGAGCGACAGAGAGCCAGCATGTCCGTGAGAGAGAGAGTTGATCAGATTCAGTCAGGTTTACACTTATTTAGACATCTGATTGATGTTCAGGAAATTATACGATTGAGCTGCAAACTAAATAAAAAAAAACTAAAGTACTGATGCAATATGATGAGTAAAGGATTGCAATTTATCAATACAATTATAACGGCAGAGACCCACATCTTCCTGACAATCTTTTCAACGTCTGACTGACCTTGATCTCGTCCAGTAGAAATGCATCTGTACGTGACCATCCTCATGTCCAGTCCCTCCTGTCTCCACATGCGGTCCAGAAGATGCACGATCTGCAGCACCAGCATGTCCTGCCGCAGGTTATCTCCAGTCTGAGCCAAAACACAACAGCGAAAATCACGCTTTTAAGATGAATTCAACGAGTACTGACAAACTACATTCCCCGTAGCTCGTGAAGGATCTTCATACTTTGCAGATGAGGCTGTAGTTCTGGCCCAGCGGGTCGGCCGTGATGAAGGACACTTCCATGGGCGCTGCGTTTGAATTAAAAACCTTAAAAGACTGAGAGACATATACAGTTTTCATGCATCCATAAAGAAACATTTATATCACTAGCAGTGATGGATTTAACCAGAAACTCAAGCTCTTGAAAGTGACACCAGTGGTCTATCATGTTCACACATAACCTAATCTTGTAGTTCAGAAACAACTATACTCATATACGTCAAAAATGGGCCTCATTTTACATTTTCTGAGCGTGATTTTAGACAGTATACTGTGGTCAGATCACAAGTCATGTCCAGAATATCAGAAAAGGTCATTTCTGCTCAGTTATGCTCCTTCTCACAGAAAAATGGTCTATAGATTGTATCACAGAGACTGCGTTTATTACTAATCTCTCATGCACAGTAAATCTCACAAATGCATTTATTGAATGTACCTCAATATTCACAGCTTTGACCACGACCGCTGGATCTAATGGAAGCCTGCAGGACTGTCCATCAGCAAAAAAGCTCACAATCTTCCATCTCTCTCGGCGAAACACATCCTGCACAAAAACAAAAACAACATTTTTAAATTTCATTTCAGAACCTAAAAAGGATCTTGTTAAGGTAAGGCTTTCTATGTTGGGTTTCTCTGTTTTGCCAAGGCAAATGAGCCTGATATATTAACAGACCTTTCTCTTGTTTTTGTCAGCTGAGCGGATTTTCTCTGCCACTTGAGTGAGAAGATCCACCAGTCTGCTCTGGCGCTGAAGCTCGTGTCTCAGAGCGCGACCGCAGCAGTTCTTCAGCGCCGACAGAACCTTATTCAACACACAGACACACACACACAGACAGACACACACACACACAGACAGACACAGACACAGACACACACCCCCGCATGACACATTTGCTCTTTCTAATGCTTCTATTATGTTTTATAATTCCATTCCATTATAATAACTCCATTCAATATAATTAAAATGTAATGCACATGTTCCCTCACCAGTACAGCTGCTGAGCGATACGGATGCAGTGCAAAGATCTGGAGAGCAGAAGCTTCATCAACGGCCCGTCAATTTCCCACTCCATCTTCAGAGCCTGGAGGAGAGGTCAAACATCAAACACAAACGAGATTTTTTTTGTCAGCATTATAATGCTGGAAGGACATGCAGTGGTCATCATGAGTGCTAGCGTGTGTCTGGAGGCGAAGCATGATGCTGCGTGTCTCACCTGCACCAGCTGCGGCAGAAACTCCTCCAGCTCACTGTCACACATCTGCTGGAAACACTGCACCGCCACTGAACGCACGCGCTGGTCATGAAACCTGACACAAACACATCCGCTTAATCTCTGATTCACATCAGAAGAACAGCAGAAATGCAGTACAAGCCGTTTGCAGAAGTACATTCAGTGATCTGATGAGAGCAGCATCAACTAAAGCCCAAGAAAATCACTGCCACTGTATTTATACGCCCACAATTAACATCATTATTCACTGTGATAATGACAACTAAAATCATTCATAAGACAAATGGGTGGGTAATACAAGCAAAAATTGATACCACAATATTTTTTTCAATTTTTTGCAATTGCATGATAAAATATGACATGTCTTTATGGAAACATAAACATTACAGTTTACTAAAATAATAATGGTCAAAAGTAATGGTAGGCCTATCATAAAAGTGACAAATTTTGTGACAAATTAATAAATAATTACTAAAAAATATCTTTCAAACACAATCATCGAGGCTTTTCACTTTTGAGCACAAGTGTTTTCTGAACCTTCTCTATGACCCAATATGTCCAGTTTTATGTTTTCATGACATGATAAACATTTTGGTGACTATATAATATAAGACACACCAGAAGTGTCTGTAAACAAGGAAAATGAATGGTCACCTGCCAGACGTGCCAGGAGTTTTTATAATATTTTGTATTTTTTTTGGTTTATAATGTTTTGTTGGCAGATGAATGCCAAATGAAGACATAAAATAGTGCACAAAGATTACAATCTAGTCAATCTGCAAAAAAAAACAAAAAAAACCCTGTCTATCTTTCAGGACTGATTCCAAACTCATTAACGCTAGAGCTCTGGTCCATGTCCTGAACAGAACAGAAATACTGATGTGTTGTGGGGATCATACTCATCACTCAGGAGGAACAGGGCCTCCGCAGCGCTCACGGGGCTCCAGCGCTCCAGGACAGAGTATATTTCCGGCAGGTTCTGCGGTCTCCACTGCGGCGCGCTGCCCAAAACCAAGTGCAGGCGTGAGTTCCTCTGGCTGCAGATGTGCCGCTTGCTCCACAGGAAGGCCTTCTCGTTGTCAGTCATGCTGCAGAATGTTGAACAGAAGAAGTGACATTAATGTCCACATCAACCACCGTGTCTGAACTGCTCATGGGTGTCTTCTCTTGTACTGACAGCGACAGGCTGTGTTTCTGACACACTTCTGTCACTCTCTTCTGCAGCTCTTCACACAGCACAGACTCCAGGACTGCTTCGGGCCGAGCCGCCGCTCGCTCATATCTCCACTGCTCAGACTCCGGGAAATCCATCTGTGGAGAAAACCCAGTGTGAAAGAGGCTTCCTTTATGAACAAGATTAACTTCATACTTTAGCTCTCACAAAACCGCTCAAGAAATGTGGTGCACACGCGTCAGAAAACATGATGAACTGCACATTGAGAATACTATATGTGATGATGAGTGATGTTTCCAGAGAGTGTAAAAGCGTGCACCTGTAGAATGACTCCAGTGGGCTGTCGATGGCCGTCGCTCAGCGCCGGTGACGGAGGACAGACGGGAGGCACCTGTGTGGACATACTGAGCAGAACCGTGCCATGAACCGCAGTCCTGCAACAGCACAGCATCCATCCATCAATCACAGCATCACAGAAACACTGGTCGAAGCATATTCACTGCATATGAAGGTCCACAACACACTCTATACAAGTAGGCATACTCTTGCATCCAGAAAAACACAATTCATAATGCAACGCAAGAACATGCTGCATTGAAAGCATTGGGCATCAGCATACATGGTTTTCTTTTCTAGTCAACGACTGGCAGACCAATAGTGTGAAGACTAAAAATTTATATTTTGAGAAGCGTCTATAAAATGAGGTCTAATGTTGTTTGGTTCCCAACATTTTTTCCAAACATCAAAACCGTTTTGATGAGGTGAATGGCATACCTGTTGTTAAAAAGAGGAAGGACCGCCCAGCACAGGAGCTCGGGGTGTTTGGCCTGTTTTGAGCCCAGTAGATGAAAAGACAACATTGATTCATATGGAAGCTCCTGTACTGGAACGGGAAACACCAATCTGAAACACACAGGAACCAGAACACCATTTGACTTTGAACTCAGTCGTATGTTTCACAGATAAACAGAGCGCAATGAGTTCACTAGATAAAAGGACTATAAAAGAAATTGTATTCATCCTAATGAATATTATCAACCCTGTACCCCGTTTTGACCGCAGTGAGCGTGAAAGTGGTATCCTTGCAGTGTAAGAGTTTTCCAGCACAAACACCCAGAGTGCATAATTTAGTGAAGGTATTCATTAATGAAAACTCTGTCATATATTAACCTGTTTACTTTTGAACTCAAACCAATAGAATTCCCTCATTAAAATACACGAAGCCTTTGAACCACAAGCATACAGTTGTGGCCTTTAGGAATGCACATATTTGTCATGCCGTAGCACATCATTCACTGTAGATGAAGTAGCTCTTACAGACGGTTGCACTGGATCTTGCAGCTGAGTTGCAGGGACGTGCTGATGTTCTCAGACAGCACAGGTTCAGTCAGATTCCTGCCGCAGTATGTGAGCGAGCAGCTCACGCTCAAGTGATCGTAACTGTAACACACACACACACACAGTGACTCATACTCCTCATTATCACAGAACCAGTTCACCCATTAACCATTTCCTCATCCTCAAACCCTTATGACTTTCTTTCATCTGTGAAACACAAATAGAGATTCTTTGACATCCAAGTCGCTCTTTACTGAAAATCTTCCACTGCATCTCTCAACTCTCATTTGTGCTTGTGCACATTCAAACCTGGACTTCACATCAGTGCTGCTAAAACCATTGGTTCTCCCGTCTCAGAACGGATATCCAGGATTGTTTTGAATGAGATTTGAGAGCTACGGCAGATTTTCACCACACTGTTCTGCACTCACAGCTATGCTCTGAGGACCGGGTTTCTCAGAAGTGTTAAACATCTGGTTGTACCTGTTTATCCAGCCCGGCAGCAGTCTGTAGAGGCACGTCAGGTTAACTTGCAGCATGCAGCTGCTGTGCTTGACGTCTGCTGCTGGTGGATTCAGATGGTCCTCCTGTCCTCTGAAGTCCAGATCAAAGTTTGTGAAGAAAATGTGGAGCAGCTTCAGCAGAGCGTGATGGAGCATGACTACAGCTGAAACATGCAGACTTTACACTTACAATGCATGCACATCACTGAAAACAACACTGCTCTTCTAGAGCAAACAGCTAATGTGTGTCTTGAGCTTCCACTCAAACAGAACAGACATGCAAAATCAAGCCCTGAGACTTCACTTTAGTATAAAGACTCACCAGTTTCAGAGTCACACATTTCGACTGGAGTCTAGGGAAAAGAACATTATATTTAATCTTTCTTATTAAACACCAATTCAAAAACACTTGAGGTGTGTTGTACCAGTGTGACTGGAGCGTAGCACTGGATCCGCCCGACGGCATCCTCCAGATCTGCTGTAGTGACGCCACACAGCTGTTCACACACGGCATGAACGCTCTCCACAACCTCCCTCACACCGACATCACACTGACATACCAAACACAAACCCTGTCAGTCAGTCATTACGTCTTTACTGAAGCCATGCAATGACATGCAGATCATTCAGAGTAAAGTTCACATGTATAGAAGCATTCCAGTCATGCACATGGATTTCTTTCTTTCAGATTAATTTCAGTGAAACACAAACCCAGCTTCTCAAGAGCTTGTTTACTGCCTGGCTGTAGATGCACAGTTTCTCCTGCAGACCCGACCTAAGAGAACAAAGGAGATTCAGTATGTTGGCACTTGACTATACCATCAAGAACAACAACTATAAGTACACAAATAGGTCAGGAGAGATATAAAGGCATATAACGCTGGCAAAATTCAATTTGAAATGTAATATATAAAAAGTGGCATGATTTTCAGTACATTTTCAGCAACATTCTGAGCAAAACTTGAACTTGAATTTGTCAGTTCTGTTTTAATTTTGTGACGAATGCAACAAAATTCTATGTGGGTTAAAAAATGCATTTGATTACATTTACGTCCCCGCCTGTCAATCACCGCATCATAGCTAATACACAACCAATTTAAATTTTTCAAATCATAACACACCCAAATTATATTTCAATTTCAAAAATAAAATGCACCAGATGTTGCACACGTGTATGGGGAATGTACATTCAAATACAATACTACTGTACACTGACATCTTACATTGCAAATGGAATTTTGTCAGCCTTATTCTTCCGTAGTACAGAAGCAAGCAAACCTTAAAGTGCTGAATGCACAAGCAGAAGCGAGGACTTGATTAAAATGAAACATCTGGTGGTCGTCTTCCTCCTACAGAAACATGCAATCTGATAACAAAATGACCTTCTTCAAACGAGAAACTGTCTCAGAGCCACAGTAATTCAATGCCATACATCTCGTGTCAGTGTTTTGTCAGCGGAGTCCTTGAGCACCATCCTCACTGGAACATCCAAAGCAAACTTCTGATACACCTGGATGCGTTCATATAATCCCAGGATTTCATCGCTGGACGAGGCGAGACAAAACAACGACAGAGAGTATTTCCATTAACGTTCAGCAGCAACAAGAACATCTGATCCACTACTGGCAGCGTGCATGTCAAATACGACAGGTGAAATTACCTTCTGAGATACTCCTCTGAGTCGCAGAGTTTCATCAGGTACTGTCCACTGACAGAGGCAGAATGATCTAGAGTCACCAGAACCGCCTCCATCAGCTCCTGGGCTGTGCTGTTCACTGAGAAAATAATGTGAAAATAAAGTGCTTAAAGCTCAAACCTGATGTATATCATCTGTAATACTTACATCTGCTTCTGTACGGCAGTTCCACGGGCAGCCAGGGAACAGACACATTGAAGAGAAGTTCAGCAGACTCCAGGAGAGACACGTGCACAGGAGCCACGCGGGCCCACACCACGCTCGAGTCAACCTTGTCACGATTGAGCCTGTATTCTGAGAGCAGTCTGTCAGAAGACAGCATTCAAGCAGGAATGAGGACGTCAGTCACATGCATGCAGCTCAGTTATTCATACTGGAGCAGTGAGCTACATATCCATGTCGACTAAATATTCTGGTGTGTAAATTAAAGTTCACATGAATTATTTAGTGTTAAATGTACAAGTGAATTCAGTACACATGCATGACATTCGACAGCCACAGAGGCACATTATTATGATTAATACGATCTTACTGCGATGTTGACATGCAGAGCGAAGCAGTTCTGCTGTTACTGCCTTGTGTGGAATCAATTAAAGTGATGCTCCAAGCGTCCTGGTTATTCATACTGGAGCAGTGAGCTACATATCCATGTCGACTAAATATTCTGGTGTGTAAATTAAAGTTCACATGAATTATTTACAGTGTTAAATGTACAAGTGAATTCAGTACACATGCATGACATTCGACAGCCACAGAGGCACGTTATTATGATTAATATGATCTTACTGCGATGTTGACATGCAGAGCGATGCAGTTCTGCTGTTACTGCCTTGTGCGGAATCAATTAAAGTGATGCTCCAAGCGTCCTGCAAAAACACAAATTCATAATCTATTAGTAAGATACAGAGTGATCGACAGAGCGCCATCCACAGGCTGAATTACACAAGCGTACGTGTCTGTGTTCAGCGATTAATAGGCGGTTAATCGTAATTATTTATTAACTGTATTAATTCTAGTGCTATGACTCGGAAATGTCTGTTATTTTAAAATATCCATTAGTAAACCTTTTAGTATTTACTAAACATTCAAGTCATATGTAAGAAAAGGTTTAGCTAAGAGCCAAAGTCTATCTATGTACAGTCTAAAGCAGGGGTCCTGCAGAGTTTCTAGTAAGAGCTTGAGCAGCGTGTTCAGGTGTGTTTGATTAGGCTCGGAGCTGAACTCTGCAGGACACCGGCCCTCCAGGACCCAGTCTGGTGACCCCTGGTCTTTTTTCTGGTATAATGCATTCAAATCCTCCAAACTTACATTTGGTCCTTTAGCAGACGCTTTTATCCAAAGCGACTTACGAATGAGGACAACAGAAGCAATCAAATCCAACAAGAGAGCAATGATATGCAAGTGCTATAACAAGTCTCAGTTAGCTTAACGCAGTACACGCAGCAAGGTTTTCTTTTATTATATAATAAATAAAAAGAAAGCAGATAGAATAGAAACAGAATAGAGCAAGCTAGTGTTAGAGGCCTTTTAAGCTTTTGCTAATTGTATAATAAATAAAAAGAAAACAGACAGAACACAAAAAGATTAGAGAAGCTAGTGTTTTTTGTTTTTTTTAAGAAAACAAGCAGTTAGTAAATGAATAGAGTGCAAGACTGCTTTTTTTTTAAATAATAGAATTAGAATAGAGAGTGCTAGAGTTAGAGGGTTTAACATTGTAAACTCCAAGCTCAGGCATGGACTGTATTACTCAGTGCCATGGTTCTATCATCAGTCAGCAGCACAGTACCATGCTCACGCCGTCACGGTGTGTAACAGGCTGCTTCAGCTCTGATCCTGCAGCGCTTTCCTCATTCTTCACCCGCTCCTGATTCCTCTGATCGGCTGCGGAGTCAGAAAGGGCTGTGTATAAATCCAGATAGTCCTGCTCTGAGAAGGCAGGCCCATCCCATCCCTGAAACACAGGACCCTCGGGATCTTGACATGGATCCATCGGATCTCAGCATGTAAAGGCAGATCTCTCAGAGGATCGTGTCATGAGAAATGCTGGAGTCCGGGTTCAGGTCATTGCTGACAGGCCGGTGTTAAATACTCTCACCATCTGATCATCTGTAAACAGAGAAAAGCGTCAGAATAAAGATTAGCGCAGCTTTAACTTTCCCTCTCTTTCCGCAGCGGATCTTGAATCGTCTCGAGTGAAATCAGTCTGATTCGGAATAAAAATATGTTACATTAACTTACTCATAAGAGTGAATCCAGCAGCTTACTCCCGAAAGCTTCACGACAGGTGTGGGAGGATCACTCGTAATCAACGCTAGTATTGGTATCGGATCGATACTTTAGGTGAAGTTTCTCTACTCTACGCCTAGCTTTGCTCCCGCTCCGCGCGCCGCTCCTTTCATCTCGTGTGTAAGTTACTTAGTGACATTTGAGCCGAGGCACCGGAGGATAATGGGCGTGACAGATGACGCGAGCCTTGTGGTGATAACGTGGAAATCACGTGACCAAAGACAAACGTAGCCTCACTTTACCTTTCACAGGCTTTTGGCAGCTTTATTTTTACATTTTCGACACTCTCGAAGCTTTGAATCCTTTCCCCGGAGCAGTCAGAGGAAAGTCTGAGGCGGAGTCCCAATTCGCCCAAAAGTATGTACTCGTTTTGTTAAGAAAAATTACGTAGGCTACTCTTTGAGTGAGTGTGTGTGTGTGTGCCGTATACATCAGACTTTTTTTAATTTTTTATTAATGAATATACATAAAGATAAATACCTTTTATGTAATCACACCAGCGAACTTCAGTGGTAATGGGCGTGAAGTTTTGGGACAATGTGCAGTACACGGTTAACGAATCACAACACACTGGGCCAGCTAACCAATCTGAGCCCGTTGTGTATTTCTGAGGGAGTGGTATCATAGAAACAGGAAGTCAACTGGCCGTTCAAATAACAATGGAGACAGCGGCTTACATTAAAGGTAAAATATATGAAAAATAAGGCGTTTTATTTATTTTTTTTAAATTAAGCATGAAGACATGTTACACTGCACCCATAAACACAATCAAGCCAAGAAAAAAAGCAGTCAAAAACAGCATCAAAGGGGAGGTCTAGTGCTATTTCATGCATTCTGACTTAATTACACTGTTAAAGAGTTGGATTCTCATGCTAAACACGGCCAAAGTATTTCTGAGCCAAATACACTCCTTCATGGTTTGTATAGGTTTCTGATTTTTTTTTTTTGATGATAGAATGACAGGCTGAACACTCAGAACATCAACCGAATTCGATGTACTCTGTAAACATGCAGTGTATCTGTTCTGTTCAGACTGAGCACCCAATACCAAAGCTTTGGCATGGAGTCCCAGTGAGGTAATATCTGCTAGCCGAATACAATACCAATCCCCCAGCCAACATTTGTATGTGGGGCCCATATGGGTATGAACTG